CTAGGCCAGGGATAGGAAACATATGGTTCTCAATATGTTGTACTCTTGTCTTCCTTCACCATTAGCTATGCTAGCAATAGCAAAGGGAACTACAGTTGAAATAACAACATTTGGAAGGCCACATATCTTCTACTCCTGGACTAGGCTTTAGAGCTGCTTGGAACATGTGTGAGCAAAAGGTTCGAAGATCAGAACAGTTCCAGAGACAATAACTTTTAAGTGTTCTCTGAGTGGGAAGGAAGGGCATAGAAGCAACTACAAACAATAGCTTGTTATTAAAGTCACAGACTTTATGGATCCTTGTTTATAGTCCACAGCATTATTATTGGTACTGTGTATTGCAGAGTTTTTTTCTCTAGCCCAGTAACATCTAGCTAATCAAATGTGTACTTTAAAATACTCATGTACTTCATACTCCATAGCTAGTGAAGATTTGCCCACTGCATTCTTGCTATTCTAATACATATTCACTTTCAACTTTCAGCCTGTCATGAACAATGATAAACACTGCTTTGAATGCTATGGATATGACATCATAATTGATGACAAACTTAAACCCTGGCTTATTGAGGTAAACAAGGATATATTGTCTTTATCGGTTTCATGTTAAAATTGTGGTCTTTGACAACTTAAGGATTCCCTTTTACAAAACAGACTAAAGAAAAGAAGGATTGCAGAGCAACTTCAGAAGGGAAATTTTGATAGCTTTGGTCTAAATTCAGTTGTCATTCTGGCTAGGCTGAAACCATTGAATTGACAGATAAGTGCTGACATACTAAGTTTCTGTTGACCAAAATCCTGTTAGCATAGTAAATTGCTCTAGAGTAGGCCCATTGAATCAATGTGGATTTAGTGAGACAATTTCTAATGTCCATTATTTCAAATGGGGCTATTCTAACTGACTTGCTATGCTAAAGTAAATCTTAGTTAGTCTTATTTCAATCAGTGGAACTTATAGAGGCATATCCCATTGTGATTTACTACTCTAAGCAACAAGATATGGACCAATAGGCCTCCTCTAGTTGGAAATAACATTTGGATTTAATTCTTTTTATCTGAGCATTATTTCTTCTAAGGCAGTTGTGATGTTCCACCCAGTGTTCCCTATTTGTTTTTCCCAAACCAAGGTTGACTCTGGCAACATTTTCTCTTTCATACGCTGCCACCAGTGGATATCCCTTATCCACGCTCTCACAGTACTTGAATTAGACACTTGCTGCCAACATAGCTTGTTTATTTAGATTGAATTTGAATCAGAGATGTTCTTTTTAATCATTGTATAGATTCACTCATTAAAACTTCTTATACAGTATTTGGTTACACGTTCAATGCGTTGTTTGTTTTATTGATTTATTCACTTTAACCTTTTTAATAATATCAGATCTCTCTATTTCTCTGACTATCTATCTATCTTGACTATTCAATTTCTCTTCTCCACACTCTTATTCTCTCTTTCACCTTCTCTCTCTCTAACTCTCCCTCTAACTGCCTCTAACTTCCTCTCTGATCCCGCCCCTCCAGTTCTCTCATAGGCTCATGCAAATGAGGTTCTGCTATGAGTGACAGGAGTGACGTAAGGTATTCGTCACAGCAGTACTGTTTATTCTGATTGTTGCTGTACAGTGCTTTGAACAAAATTCCTTCTTTTGATATTTCCTGTCCCTGTAGTAGATAGAGTTTCAACAAGAGGTACTAGATATTTAACCTGGAACTCACAGGATGGAAAGGATGTGCTATGCCATTTTTCATATCACGCTAAACCAAAATTGCTGAGAATTATCATGAACAAGCAAGCATGTTTGATCATTCCTGCTGGCACCTTCTACTTCTGGGGTCAGCTAAACAAACCACTAAGAGTTTTTCAGTGGCTTGTTTAGCATTTTGTCCAAACTGGGATCCTTGACTTATTGTTTTTCTAACAATCCAAAATCATACCAAAAATTACTTTCTTTATAATTTTGGCTTATTAGGAGAGTTACAACCAGGGAATCCTGATCTGGACAGGTATTTAGGTTGTCACTCTTTAGCACAGGTGAGCAACCTCCAGAAGTCTAGAGAACACACTTATTCATCACTGGACCTTGGAGGATTTCACCCATTCCTTTGACTTCCACCCTCTAAATTTTCTCTTATAAAATATTTGTGTGGGTTGTGCTTTTTTTTTTCAACTGAAGAAATCCCCTTGTACCCTCTAATGGATTTTTAAAAGTGTGTTTGTGCGTGCGTGCGTGCGTGAGGGGAGGGAGGGAGAGAGAGAGAGACCCAATGTTTTGAATCCTTCTCAGTATATGGCACAGTTGCCCCTGCTGCCCTAAGGGACACATGGGGAGTTTCTGGGCCCCCAGTGATTTTGAATGATTTTTCTTAAGTATCCTGGTGCTGGAGGCCCTGCAGTAGTGGAAACTGCATTTTTGTCCCAGGGAGGGGGCCAGTCACACAAGCCTTGAGCCAAATGTTGTCCATGCTTGTTGTATGGCTTTGTCTAATTAACTTACTGGATAAATGTTAAAAGAGTAAATGGTGAATATAAGCAACTTACTTTTCTCCCTTTTTTCTCCCACTATAGGTCAATGCTTCTCCATCTCTTACTTCTAGTACTGCCAATGACCGTATACTTAAATACAATCTCATTAATGACACACTTAACATTGCTGTGCCAAATGGAGAAATTCCAGACTGTAAATGGAATAAATCACCTCCAAAGGAAGCTCTTGGAAATTATGAGATATTGTAAGTATTAACAAATAGATTAGCAGCTGCTTGCTCCACTGCAAGTGGACTTGCTAATGCTACCATGTGACAAAGATTTAAGTATATCCTTGTCTTGTGATAATTCAGTATTCACATTGTAAAGCAAGATGAAGATAGTTTCCCAGGACCTTATGTTTGTTGAATCGTTTATCAAAATAAGAAGGTGCACTGATCTCTAAAGAGAAAGCATACTGTGGTTAAAAATTAAGTGTCAAATACTCTCGAGACATTTCACTTTCAGAAATATATATTGTATCACAAATACTTTGTTTTAGATAACAGTATCTCTGAGCCATTTTCTTGTTTTGGTTTGAGACATTTTCTTGTTTTGTTTTGTAAACAGTGTGTTATCCTAACTGAGTTGTGGGGGTGTCTGAGACAGACAGACTATAGATAGACAAAATTTCCCCCTTGTGCAGCAATTCTCTTCATTTTTAAAACATTAAAAGAACAATATCTTCCTCAGAAAGAGGAAGTATTTATCCCCAATCATATTTTCATTTGTTTTCTCATTTGTTGAATACAATATGAAATGAGCAAGTCTTTCAGGTACTTTTTTGTGCCCATGATATCATAGTATATAAGCAAGAGATTCTTCATATGACCTTCAGAGAGGACTCCCTATTTTATTCTAATTGATTATGGATTTGGTGCAGTTTCATCCTGTCCAGACTGGCTGTTTTGGGTGGATTGGGCAACAAAGGATATTGTTGAGGTGTGTGTGTGGGAGGAGTGATGTCTTTTGACACACTCCTCTTGTCTGAACAGCAAATGCCCCACATCAGGAAAGCAGGCACAAGTACTCTCTCTGCTTTCCAGCCAGTGGAGGAGGGCTGGAAGCTGGCTGCAGTGTTGGAGAGGACCACTGCCTCTTTAAGTCTTGTTTTTTTGTTTATGTTTTGTTTTTTGGTGGCTTGGATGAGTTACACAAGCAAGTGGGGTGATTGAGGAAAGGGCCATTTCTCTATGCTTCCCAAGCTGACCAGGCAGCCACTCTTCACTCCAGAGCTGATCACAAAAGGCAGCGAGACAGAAAAGGGAGAAAAAGAGAGAGAATGGGGTGTTCAGTCTCTTCCCTTCCCCCTCCCTGCTTTCCTTCCTTAGTTCACTTTAAACTCTACTTCAGAATCTGTAGCTGCAGCATTGCAGTTATCTAAACTCTGCGGGACAAAAAGAAAGGTCTTGATCCCTCTGCCAGCCACCCTCCTCGCTGTTTTACTGGGTTCTCTCTCTTTTTTTTTAATTTTTAGCATACACATGAGGTATGTGCACACAGGGACCACTCTTCCAGGGAAGTGAGTTTTTCCACTCCCCTGCCAGAGATCCGTTTATTTTGGGGTGGATGTGGAATTGATTCCACATATGTTAATGCCCCATACAGTTTTTAAAAAATTTCTGCTACTTTATAGGAGGGATTTTAAAAACCACAAAAGTACTGAGCTTGCTGAAAAAGCCAGTGCCCACCCAGTCGCCTCCCTCCCTCATATGTCATCTCACTCCACCCCCACCCCCTCACTCATCTACCTGCCCACCCCTCAGGCACTTATCCCCACACCTTCCCACCCTTTCCCTCTCATCCCCCTCCACCTCCCTGGTTCTTCTCTCCCTCCCCTGCCCCCATCAGACCCACCTGAGAGGAGGACATGGAGAAGGTGGTGATGATGGCAGTAGCAGCAGAGAGTCTGTGGCGGTGGTGGGATGCCTGAGGAAGAGGAGGAGGTGGTGCCAGGATGAGGAGTACAAACCACCACAAAAGGTTTTGATTCAGGCTAAATTCCTTGTGACTTTAGCCTGGAAAAAAAAAAACCACGCATGATCTCTCAGACGGTTTATTCTGGCAGTAGGAATGGGCTCTAAGAGTACCCTACCACCAGGCCAGATAGGTGTGCAACAACTCTTAAAGAGACAGAATGGCTCGATCTAAATATGAACACAAGCAGATGCAGGAGCTTATTTTGAGCTAACCATGCTCTCAACTACAAATCTATATACTGTATCTCTATGACAGTGTGGACGGGAAGCAATAACCTTTGTCTTGCCTACTTAGACATTACAACAAAATGTAGTTTATGCTCAGGAAAGTGATAGAGCAACTAGACACAGAAGGGGAAGGGGAGTGCATGGTTAAAATACTCTGAAGTGAGCCCAAGTGTACCTATGTGAATCATTCCTTTTTCCTGCCTTCTGCCATGGACTCTCTTCAGTATTATATATGTTTTCTGTACTTTTCAGCACATCTGGTGACATTTCTCCATCTCTGTCTGACTCTTTTTTCCTCTCATTCTCTTTTTCATACCTAAAGCAAAATGTTGACATTGGATGCCTCTTCAACTCTGATAATCTGAGTCATTGTAGCTGACGAATATTTCAGAAAGTTTCAAATCATTGTGGCAATTGTTACACACAGTATATACTGTATTGGATCTGATGGTCTGAAAGCTAGAGTTATAATATGCTTTATTCAATTAAGTCATTTGTTTTATTTTGTTTTACTGGATTAACTCTATGATTCTTCTGTGTTTTAATTTGTCCAAAGATTTTTGATAACAATAAGCAGGTTAATATTTTTATTCATCTGCATTTTTACTTTAGACAGGGATGAGAAGGGTATGCTCCAGATGTGGTTGTACTACAGCTCCCATTGTACTTCATAATTGATAAAGCTTTTCATGTACTGTACCTATGACGGAAGATGGGTTGCATGTATTTGAAAGCCCTCTGTATTCACATGCAGAAAATTAGAAAGCTAAGCTGAAGCTCCTCTCTTTGACATGTTTTCTAGATAGAGAGCCCACTACTTTTAAAAAATAGAGTGTTCAGATGCTTCATTTTTCTGTCCTTAGTCCTAGCAAGAGAAACATTGATTCTAGTAGCTCCTATCCCTTATTTTAATCCAAGTGAAATACTACTTCCTGTGTTTCTTTCTATAGATATGATGAAGAGGTGGCACAGAGTGAATTGCCAGACCGGGATTTACGAAGCCGCTCTGGACAGCCCATTGGGTTTAAGGGAAATCGAGCGAGAGACACTGGGAAATCAGGGCCCCTTACATGGAAATAGCTACAGAAAGGAGTTTGGTACTCCCTGAAATTCAGGGGCTGTTGTGGGAAGTTGTTTCGAAATGAATGCTCATTTTTGGATAACTTGCTTTCTTTCTGAAAAATGCCCTTAGGGTGGAGGTAATATTGCTCAAAGAGAAAAGGCTTTTTTTTTGTCTGTCCTCTGGTGACAAGTAGAATGGAAGCATGTACTAAACTAATATAATGGCATGTATAAGCATCTGTTTTATTATTAAATTATTTTCAGTTTTGCTGCAGAATTGTTACACTGAATGCTGCATCATATAATTGTAATATATAATATAAATTATTACAGGTGAGATTAAATTTTTTTAAAAAAATAACTTGCTTCCCAGAAACACTGATTTCTTTAAATGGTTGACTGCTTTCTTTTACATTGCTGTTGCTGCCAACAAAAATAAGTGTTCAGACATTATTATTTTATAGGAAAGAAAGGTACTCCTTTACTTCCTGAATTTTGCTAAAAAAATTAAGGGTGCATTCCTAAAAGCATGCATACTTTCCAGTTGCAGAAAATACAAAAGCAATCAATAAAGTATCATAATAGGAAATCCAGATTTTTTTTTCCCAACTATATACTGTCATCCTCTGGATGTTTTTGCCTCAGAATTCATTTTATTCAAAAGAACGATTATGGCCTTCTGTTGGGTAGGAGAATCCAAAAAGTCCTGAAGTTTTTATATTTACTGGGAATTTTATTTTTATTTATTTATTTAGATTTATACCCCGCCTATGTAGACTGAAGGTAGTGACTCATTTGAATAAAAGAAGGTAGTGACAAGTTGTCATGTCTATAGATAGCAAAGACAGATCTATAAATTATGTGCTGATACAGCAACCTCTTTCCTCACAATTTGATGCACAGCTATTATTGCGGAAAAAATGGCAGCATTTCAAGTATCTTTCTCCAGTAGCTTATCTGGCAGGAGCCCTAAAGCACTGATGCATTGCAGTATTTTTGATAGGCAACACCTTCTTAAAACTTGGGATGTGGCCACACCACTTATTTATAAGTGCATTCTTCCTTCTAATGGTTTTTCAGTTCTTGCCAGCTAAATGAATGTCTCTCGTGCTTACTGATGTGTATAAATCTATCTTTCAATCTCCTGAACCATCACTGAATGCAAATATACAAGCAATATTGTTTCTTTCCTTCTCCTCTGGAAGAATATTTTAAATTACAAAACTGTTCATCTCAGTTTATGAGACAGTATCTTTGTGTAGGAGCTTGGTCTGCTAATACTACCTCTCTGTGGTTTTTCTGTTTTCTTGCTCAAATTGAAGTGTTGACTATGTGAGATTTCTCTTACAGAAAGGCCTGGAGAAATAGGGAAAAAGCATAATGTCTAAAAGTCCCACACTGGGGTTGAAGTAGTTTAGTGAACTTTGGAATCCAATTGTACAAAATAATAAATGTTAATACAACAGCCCTGTCAGAGCACTAACCAGATCTGAGACTGTGACATCATATCAAATAATGATTTGTGCCAGCCATTCTTTAGAACACAAACACAGCTTGAGTTTCCAATTGTTTGGTCAAGTGATGGAATTCATAATGATGTTCTGCTTATATTTCCCAGTGTGGGATCCTCACATCTTACTGAGCAGTGGTCTCTTGTGTTGGACTGAATCATTAGATTATATTCAGACAGAGTACTCCCAAGTCCTTACTTGCTTATCTCACTAACCCCCTCTAAAATCTTGAAAGCTTGGGGACCCTTGAACATTGGCATAGGGGCTGCAAATAAAAGATAGGAATGTTGAAAATTCCTGTCTCCTTTTTACTTGCAGAAGTCCTTGCTATCTTTTGTGTGCATTTGGATAATTTGTAGATTTAGTACAGCTCTTGTACGGTTGTGTTTGCTAAATGCAGAAATGTTTAGAGAAATCAAAATATTATCATAAAGATTAAATGGAAGAAGGCAGTCTGTTTATGTGTACAGTATACAGTATATCTGTATGTCTGTGTTTGTGCTGTCAAGTTGGAACTGATTTATAGTGACCCTAATAGAGTTTTCAAGCTAAGTATTTAAGGAGTAGTTTTACCAGTTCTACTTCCCCAGTGAGATTCCATGGCTCTCTTGAGTCCTAGTCTGTCACTCTTATCTCCTACATCACACTTGATGTCCCTGTATATATCTGTAGATATGTTTCATTTTTCTGAGCCTTGAACAGAACATTGTTGCATTCTCAGAGCTTTCCTTGCAACAAAAAAAGTTAGAAATAGTATTCTAATGATAACATCTCTTCAACTGTAGCATAAATTTTTGAAGCTTCAGTGCTGTGTATGTATCTGGAGGAAATGTCAGGAGTCAATGCGCAGGTGTAGGGGACTCCCAGATATATTGTATCTTCGAACTATGGATGTAATAATGGATTGGATCTAGGCTGAGTTAACAATACTCCCAACTGAAGTCACTGAGATTTTGTTAATCTTCCTGAACAATCTCATATTCAGTTAACTATATTTGGATTCAGTGCACTCTAGCCATCATCTTCTGATTTTGTCCAAACTGGAAAATGATAGTTACCAGCTTTGGAATAAGTCAGGATATTAATACATGGTTTGGTGTTGGTTGTTTTTTCTACTCTATTCCAGTGCTAGCAAACACAGTTTGGAGAAAATTGTGTACTATGTTTAATTAGACACTTCCTGTTTTGGTTGCTTTCACAGTGAAGGAAGGAGCAAAAAGGCAACATATGCAGCTGAAAGGTTTGTTCATATTTTGGCCTATTAGATCAAAATATGCCTCTCTGAGCCTGTCATTGACTTTGTGCATTTTCTACAAACTGTGTTTATACAGCCATTTACAGTTGTGTGGAAAAGAAAGTACAATCTCTTTGACTTCTATGGTTTTAAATACCAGGACATAATAAAATTCATTTGGTTCTTAGCAGGTCTGAAAATTAGGTAAATACAAACTCAGGTGAGCAACAACACATGACATATTACAGTACACTGTGTCATGATTTATTTAACAAAAATAAACTTGGAGTTGAGAAGCCATGTGTGAAAAACAAAACACACCCTTACTGTTTCTATAGGAATTAAGAAGCTAATTAGCAGCCAAGTGCTGCTAACCAAATGCCCTTGAGTAAATGGATCATCAGCAAGTGTGACCACCTCTATAAAAGCCGAAGTTTTAACAGTTTGCTGGTCTGGAACATTCAGGTGTGTGTTAACACAATGCAAAGAAGGAAACACATCAACATTTTTTATGGGAGAAGCAATTGTTGCTACCTATAAGTCTGGGAAGGGTTAGAATGCCATTTCTAAACAATTTAAAGTCTATCATTCTATAATGAGGAAGATTATTCACAAGTGAAAAACATTAAAGACAGTTGCCAGTCTTCCCAGGAATGGACATCCAAGCAAATTCACTCCAAGGTGAGACCATGCAATGCTCAGAGAAATTGCAAAAAACCCAAGCGTTATATCTCAGACTCTACAGGCCTCAGTTAGCATGTTAAATATTAAAGTTCATGACAATACAGTTAGAAGAAAATTGAACAATTACAATGTGCTTGGAAGCGATGTCAGGAGAAAGCCTCTTCTTTCTAAAAAAAAACATGGCAGCACAGCTCATATTTGAAAAGTTGCATCTGGAACAATGTTCTTTGGACAAATTAGACCAAACTTGAGATGTTTGACTATAATGCATAGTGCCATGTTTGGCGAAAACCAAACAGCATATCAGCACAAATACATCATACCATGGTGGTCAAAAGGTGATGATTTGGGCTTCTTTTGCAGCCACAGGACCTGGTCATCTTGGCTGGTCATTCATGAGTCGACCATGAATTCCTCTGTATATCAAAGCATTTTAATGTCAAACGTGAGGTCATCTGTCTGACAGCTAAAGCTTGGCTGAAATTGGGTCATGCAACAGGACAAAGATCTCAAGCACACCATCAAATCTATAATGGAATGGCTGAAAAAGAAAAGAATCAAGGTGTTGCAATAGCCCAGCCAAAGTTGAACCCTCAACCCAATTGTATTGTTGAGGCAGGACCTTAAGAGAGATATGCATAAACAAATGCCTACAAAGTTCAATGAACTGAAGTAACATTGTAAAAATTTCTCCACAATGCAAAGTTTCTCCACAATGATGTGAGAGACTGATAAAGTCATTCAGAAAACCTTTACTTCAAGTTATTGCTGCTAAAGGTGGTTCTATAAGCTATTGAATCACAAGGTGTATTTAGTTTTTCACACATGGCTTCTCTATTTTGGCTTTATTTTTTTTAAAAAAAGAAACCATGACATGGTGTAATATGTCATGTTTTGTTGTTCATCTGAAGTTGTATTTATCTAATTTTCAAACCTGCTAAAGACCAGATGATTTTTATTATGTCCTAATATGTAAAAGCAGAATGCAAAGAGGTTGTGTTTTCTTTTTCACATGACTGTAAACATGTACAGCTTGAATTTCTGCATACCTTGTGGCCAGAATTTTTAGTAAGTGTACTTCAAGTACAAGAGACTGCACAGTACATTATGGAGTACACTGCTGTGTGTGGTGTGCTTTTATTTGTATTTAAAGCCAGAGAGATGGCTGCTGTGCAGCAACTGTGAAGCAAGCGGGGATGTGGGCCTGAGTATTGCATGAGCCTGTCCATACAGCCTCTTGCTATGCTCTGTGGGTGACCTAAACATCCCATTGCCAATGCTATTTGTGGAATAAATACAGTATCAAAAGTTGGATACCAGTGATCCAACTGTGATGAGCAGGTTAAAATTTGAGAATTTTAAAAAAGTCTGGTATCATAATCAGAACAGCCGTTTAACAGTTTTACAGACCATTATTGTTTATTTCGTGCATATGTAGCCAGTTTCCATGTCTCTCCTTGAATTGTTAAGTGTTCCATCTCTGTTGATCATGACTTGGCTGGAAGAAAGTAACTGTTAAATACATTTCCAGTCCAATAGTGGATGTCATCATTGTGATGTCATGCAGAAGGGCAGATGTTTCCTCCTCTATGTCCCAAAACACACATTGTTAGGAAATGTTACTATGCCCAGGTCTTGGAAAGAATCATGCTGTTGTAAACAGAATTGTTTTATCATCATAGCAGATATTTAACCTGTTGAGAAGCTCCAAGATGAACAGTTTAAACAGTACAAAGCAATGTCTCTACCAATTTGTTTGACATTGTGCAAAAAAGCTCGTGTGTGTAGTAAAAATAGAGATAAGTTTATTAATGTTTGCTCAGTAGGTTTTTTTTTAAATAAAGCTACTCTATTGACTGTTGCAATTGTATCTGGCTGAAATTATGTTGCTTATTTTAGTAAGTTCCACTAATTTGCCCTGTGCTCAAGTAA